AACTTCGATCTGACCCAGGTGAGCGACTGAGATCTGCTGTCTTAATTTTAATTTTTTATTCATTTGTGTGCAATATTCTTTTACTTATAATGTATATAGTAAATAAAGTTTAAATGTAGAAGTACATAAAGGCACTTTTGAACTTCCTATATGTTCTACATACATGTACTAACATTTTAGGGATGAAATGTCAAATGTCGACATATTTCGGATGAAAATATTAGTTTTATGTCAAAATATTCAGTAAAGAATAAAACATCTGAAGGTAAACTTCCCCCTGCAGACAATTATTGATCCAGACACATTACAGCAGTGCAACAGAAATGCAAATTTTCCGCACTTTGAGTGTGTTCGTAATGGATTTTTTTGTAAATTGCTAACTTTTGTGTCATGACTTTTTTGACAGTTTTTAGGAACATGGCACGATGTTGTCGTGGCGAGCAGCTGCCCCTATATGCAGCGTCAAAGAGGAGAAGCAGCCATTGGTAAACTGGTTCTGGAGAGAGGGGCCACTGAAGGCAAACTCAAGGTGACACGATCTGCACTCAGGTTTGTGAAAAGTGTGGTGCATATGTAGTTGTTCATCAAAGAGATTAAAATAAGAAAAAGAAAATGACAGAAATAATGCAATTGTTGCTACATTACATTTCAGCAAATAGCAACAGTCAAAATATTGTAAGGAATAATTACTACGGCTAAATTGGTAGAAATCATAAGTTATATCAGATTTAACTATATACAACATGGGGTCACAGTTTTATAATAAAATCTGAAGTTGATTTCATCACATATATTTAGATTTCAGATTAGTCAGCGTTTGATGCTTGTTGCATTATTCATTTCATGAAGAGGAATTTATAGCTGTGGACATCAAACCCAAAGTATAACATGTGTTGTTCTATTTTGCGTGTGTGTGTGTATGTGCAGACATGGAACGTGTAGGGAGATGTCTGGAGACTATGATTTAACCAGCACACCAGGACGACTCCTCTACCATGTTGAGAGTAGGTACCTCAGTCTGTCTCAGGTCATTCTGGTGAAGTGATGCTCGTCTTCACCGGGACTCTGTGCTCGCTCACTCTCTCTCTCTCTCCTGCAGGGTGGGGCGCAGACGTGGACGCCTACGTGGTTCACACCAACTACAACGAGTACGCAATAATAATAATGAGCAAACAGAAAACATCCGGGGAGAAGAGCACCTCAGTTAAGCTGTACAGTGAGTGGACACAATTTCTTTTTTTTCCTCTGTTGTTTTTTGCTGTTTGTATAAAAGTAATCGAAAGGTATTGCTTGGTGTTATTGTGTATTTGTACATTATTTCAAACTAAGTCAAAGTGATTATTGAATAAATTTCAGAACATCTTTCTACCTCAAACCCTCGACACTGTGTTCAATTTCTTACCTCCTCAGGTCGGACGATGTCTGTGAGAGACACTGTGCTGGATGACTTCAAAACTCTGGTCAGACAACAGGGAATGAGTGACAACACTATTGTCATCTTGCAGAACAAAGGTAACAAAACTCAGACGCACACAATTTCCCAAACACCACATGCCTCTAAATATGCACCATTACCAGAGAAGGTGTTAAAGGAGCCTAATGCTGTGTTTTTATTTTATTTCTCTTTACAGGGGACTGTGTTCCTGGAGAACAGGTGCAAGAAACGCCAGCTCAGCCTGAGCCTCAGGTAACCGAGTAACACCCTTGATAAGAGAAGAATAAGAATAAGATAAGAGAAGAGAAGAGAAGAGAAGAGAAGAGAAGAGAAGAGAAGAGAAGAGAAGAATAAGACAAGATAATCCTTTTTAAGAATATTTCTTTCACTGTGTGTTGATACAGAGGCTGAGGAGACAGGTGGTGCCGTCTTTGGCTCCAGCAGAATTGGAGGGATCTGGTGATGGTACAGCTTTTTTCGACGGAACCGGTAGGACATGAGCTTGACAATGACTCACCCAGACAAGCTGACTGGACAAGCAGAGCTCTGTTCTGATGTAATTATTATTTTCCTTTACACCCTTCAACCAAGACTTTCCCTCCACAGAGGCCTGTAAAGCGGCACCAGAGACCGGGCCGTGCTTTGGGCTGCTCCAGCGTTTCTACTACAACTCGTCCTCGATGAGCTGTCACCTCTTTAACTTCGGAGGGTGTATGGGCAACCAGAACAACTTTTTAAATGAGAGAGCATGTCTGCAGAGTTGTCGCACTGAGGGTGAGGAGTGAAATACACAACACCTGCATATGGGATATCCATGCATCACACAGAGCATCTGTGTTTTTGTCCAGTACAGAAGTGTCGAGGCACATCCACTGGCCAGAATTAAATAATATGATGGTTAAAGAAAAGGTGAAACACATACAAATATCTCTGTTCTGTCTCTGCAGCTGTTTGCCGTCTGCCCATGGCCCCTCATCCCTGCACAGGTCAGCCGTCCATCTGGGCCTTTGACTCCGTCAGCGGTTTGTGCATGCCCTACAAATTTGGCTTCTGCCAGGCCAACGGCAACAAGTTCTACAGCAAGGCAGAGTGTGAGGAGTACTGCGACGTGATTAAAGATGGTGAGACATCGAAAAGAAATACAGAAAATACGGAACAGAAACACAAGCAGATTGTACATAGAAACAGACACAGACCCAGCTGATGAAAAACCCATCTTTCTTCTCTTTAGCAGATGGAGAGCTCCTGAGGGCGAATTGAGCGAGACGAGGAAACATCGCTGCTCATCTTATCTCATCAAACTGTACAGAGATGCAACATTTGCCAACATTGCACAAGTTACATCACAACCGTAATAAAACGTCATTGATCAGTTTGACTGGTGTTTTCATTGTTTAAGGTTGCTTTCTAGAGACCTCACTGTAAAAAAAAAAATTTAATATACTTGATTTGATTGATACTTTATTTTATGCAACATAACAGATCCAGGAAATCCTGTTTGGATTTATGTTATTGGAGGTGTAAGAACTTTGTCTCTGATGGATATCAGACGCAAGTAAAATGCTTTTATCTGCAGAGTATCTACAAAAATAAATATCTACTCATGCATTTCCCTCATTACATATAAAACATGAAATATTTCCTTATCTGGTGCAATAACAACACCTTCAACCATCATCATTATTATTATTATTATTATTATTATTATTGTTATTATATACATCACTTGGGTCTGTGGTTATATCCAAAACAGTAGAATTTCATTGTGTGAATACAACCAGTAGGGGGAGATATTTCTCTATTTACAGCTGATTCACATATTTCACAGTTTCATTGTGATACTAACACATAACCACACACTCTCACTCACTCTCCCTCTCACACACAAACACACACACACACACATTAAAAGACATAAACAATACACAACAGCATACGTCCTCATCCCTGTGTGATTATTGCATCTCTGTCCATTTTAACTAACTCTCCCCTCAATGTTTATGTTTCTTTTACAGTAAATGAGTCATTCACTGAATCAACATATAACCTCATCACTGTGCTCGCTCTCTCTCTCTCTTTTCTCTCTCTTGCTCCAGCGAAGGAGCCAGGCTTCCTGCTCTTAGTTCCCAGAGTTCCCGGTTGCTGGCAGTAGAATGCTGGGAATATCCGGAGAGGAAGGGGAAGTGACATCACGGCGGTGACCTTCCGTACCAGGCCATATCACCTGGTGCTGGGAGGGAGGGGGGCAACCAAACAAGTGCAAACACACACACACACACACACACACACACAGACAAACACACACGGATAGTCACAGGCACATACTTCTGTTTTTTAGCACACACACATTCATGCACATTCTCTGGGACTATCTCTCAAACCTCGGTTTTCTTACACCACGAGAATAGACAGAGTGAGAAGAGGAAAAGGAATTCAGCAGGTTCCCATGAAGAGTGAGAGGAAGCGATAACTTGAATCAGTCATGCACAAAACTTTCCAGTACCTTAGATGGGCCGAGTTACAGACAGGAAAATCCCCACAACACTTCAGCTGGTTTGTCTCATCATCTGACTTGTACCCGTGTCTCTGAAAGACATCTCACTTCTTTTAACAAAATGCTGCTGTGTCCACAGTGTGATGTGTTCTGCAAGACTACTGATGTTCAGACTTCTGATTAATCTGAAATGGAAACAGGTTAGAAGGAAAGAGAGGGTTTTTATTTAACGTTCGAGAACATTAGAAGACTATAAGCAGCCCCCACACAATATACACACTGCCCCCCCAACACACACACACACACACACACATCTCCAGATTGCCCACTTCTCTACAGAAAGCCTGGTTTACCCTCAACCAGGCCTTCACACGTCCATTGACTGTGACACCTTCTCCGGTTCCATCTCCTGGGACTGCTTCTCTTCTAGCTGCTGGAATGAATGAGCGTGTGAATATTGTTTATTGTTGTTGCAGGTACTGTACTTGTAAAACTATAACTTCTGCCTAGTATAATTTGAAGTATAAGGGTGAGGTCATGCTTGGTATATTTCAGAGGAAAAGTATGTAGTTTTTAGTCTGCTACAATCATATGATGGTAATATGTGCCAGAAGAAAATCTGATTTATAACACATACACTATGTTGAGCTTCTAAAATACAATGTATTGTAAAGAAATGTGTTCTCTGTCACAGCCACTGGACTTAAATACCAAATAGTATTAGAAGCAATTAAATCTCAGCCAAATAAAACATGCATGAGTATTAAAAGTCTGATTATGTCCTATATAAAGATGATTTTATGCAGAACATTTACTGTTACTTGCTGATAGTATTTGTGCTCTGTCAGCCTTATCAGTGAAGTGATGTCTCTTTCGTGATTAAAGTGAAACAGATGTCAATACACACAGGCTGCACACAGATGGGAGCTGGACATAAACACACTGAACATATGGACTGTAGCCGAGATATTTACTGAGTCTGGACAGTGTCTCAGAGGTTACATTCCTTACAAAACACACACGCACACATATTTATATACATATACAAACCCACATAAACATACATATACATATGAAGACACATGTACACAGCAAATTATATAGAGAGAAAAAATGTAATGAGAGAGAGAGAGAGGAAGAGGCTGGAGTGTCCTGACGGAAGAAGGATGAGCAGTGATTGGTAAAGAGGGAGGGAGAGAGGGAGCGAGGGAGCGAGGGAGCGAGGGAGCGAAGGAGTGAGGGAGTGAGGGAGAGAGGGAGGGAGGGAAAGGGAGAGACAGTGTGTGTGGTGGAGATGTCATTATGCAGGATGACAAAAGAAGAAGGGATTCTGGTCAGCTGCTGCTGCCACTGACTATTGTCCTTCCCACAGAGGACCCCCCCCCCTCACACACACACACACACACACACACATCTTGTGTTGGACATCACTTTCTTTCCTTCTTCAAGTTCAACTCTGATTACATGGCTGACCAACTGGCAGCCCCCCCAACATTTAAAGACCCTGCTAACCCCCCCCATCCCAGCTGTGTCCCTTAAGAAAGAGTCTGAGATCCGAACAGACGTTTGTTCCAAAACCAAACTGATTTCAGAAGAAAATGGATAAAAAGTTTGGATAGAAAGCAAGAAAATCACTCAAATGTTAGAAGTCGTAAAAGCAAAAAAAAGATAAATGCAACATTTAAATGGAAAATCCAGCTGATGTATCATAACAGTGTATAATAAGGAATACTTTAGAAATCTTAAAAATATTTCTAAGGATTTAATTGCACACACTAAAACTAAAACACATGATATTTAATATCCCATTACTTTAATTGATTATTAACAAAGATTCGTAGGGTTTTCACTGTGTAAACATGCAAGTTGTTCAAATAAATGTCATATTCTGCATCTATAAATACTTCTCAAATGATTCATTAAGGTGGTCACAACCCTACACACCCACTTTAATGAATGCCATGCTAGTCACTGACAGTTTACCTCATCCAAAGTCCACTCCAGACAGTGGAGGATAATTGATTTAAGAATGAGAGTGCTTGTAATGAGTTGTTTTCCACCTGTGGAGAAGTTCTAGTGTTTTTAAACCTTAAAGAAGTAGCTATGAAAGAAGCTCCTTTCTTCCCTTTGTGTGTGAGCTGTGTGTGTGTGAGCTGTGTGTGTGTGAGCTGTGTGTGTATGCGCCTCACGTAGCTGCTAAAGGTGCTGAGCTCTGCATTATAATACATCTACTTCCACAAAGGTTTTTTTTAAGTGCGGTGGCATCGGTGTGTGTGTTTAAATATTTGTGTTCGTATACAGCGTGTGGTCAATATTTTCGAGTCAATCCAGACCGTGTGACCTCAACCAGACCAGACCTCAACCCTCCACTGTCTCTCTGCACAGTGTGTGATGCTCTAACCCTTTCTGCTTTGACTGACCTCTCTTTGACTCACACACACACACACACACACACTGGTGTATGACCACTCTGTGACACAGCCAGACAGACTCAATAGGCAACCCGGCACATTCCTTTCCCCAGGTGGTATAAAAGACGCAGCCAGATCAATGGCCTAATGGGCCCCGGACCAATGGCCGACGATCATTAACCCTGGATGAGTGTGAATTCTTCATACGCCTGGCCAGACTATTGTGTGACCGCTGTGTGTTCACATACAGACCATAGTGGTGTGTGGGTTGTTTTCTGTTGTGTGGAGCTGGTTAACCGCTGGACGAGAGGTCTAATTGAGATGGTGACAACGTGTTTTCTTGACCTGCGTAAGTGATGGACGTTAATGGACACATGGACAATAACGGCATCCCATGCAGAGGCTTTACATTTGTCTTGAGTAGAGATGGTTACAACAGCTCGTTTTTTATATTAAACTGTTTCGTTATTTGAGAATTTGCAATGACGCTGTTCTTCAAACATTGTTTCCTGCAGGAGAATTGTGGTTTAAGGTTTAAAGATTTCATGTTGGAGAAACCTACGTCACACCTATTTACTAGTACTATGTCAAACAATTGCTTCCACCAGATCACCTCTCTTCCTCAACAGTTCTCAGATTCAGCAGGAGCTCTCATCCCCCAACACTCCATTCTCCTCCAGGCCTCCACTCCTATTCCACTGGGTCCCTGCAGCTATGTGTGTGTGTGTGTGTGTGTGTGTGTGTGTGTGTGTGTGTGTGTGTGTGTGTGTGTGTGTGTGTGTGTGTGTGTGTGTGTGTGTGTGTGTAGGGCTCGTGGTGGGAGGACAATGGGCAGTAAGGGGGCTGGCTGAATAGGACCATTGAGTCTGCTCAGCCAAACAGAAAAGCATCTCCCATCTCACTTCAAAACCCACAGTTTCACTCTGTACAACCAGGCCTTTATTCTCCATAATTACTCCTTGACACACACGTATACACATGCACGCACACACACACAGACTCACACACACACACAAAGATGCATAAATATATCTTATATATAAATAAATTATGCACGAATCAGAAAAATAACTGACTCTTGACACATAAAGACATGTCAAGAGTCACAGTTTTCAAATTGCAATACTTCAACAGTTTAACCTTTAAGTTCACATGCAGAAAAATCATGTATGTAATCTTCATGAAATTGCACTAGTGCATGCCCACAGATTGAGAGCTCCACTGTTATGGTTTAGAGAACATATCAGACTACAACAGGCTCAAGTGGAGTATTTCCTTCTTGTGTCATATACACAGAAGATTATTCATTTATCATGACGGTATGTGAAGAAAGGTTTGTCAACGCACATAATAATCATCTGCTGGCGCTTATTAATCAAACTTTTTCTCTGGGTGAATATCTGCAGCCGGTGGCCGTAAAAACATCCATAAAGGCGTTACGGTCCTTGGCAGGCACATGGTCTGCAGTTT